TCTAAAGAACAGAAAGAGAAAAGAAAGAGAAGGGGGTGAAAAAAAAGACATTTATAAACTATCATTTTTTGTTGCCGACCATATCAACTAATGATATTGTAATAAGATGCCTCGCAATAGAGTGGGAATGGAAAACGTAATTACATGCATTAGTTTATCTAAGCACTTGTACCGTCGCAGATCCATCAGTTTTTCAGAGCTCATCTGGAAGCCCATGCATCACTGTCAGGAGCCGTTTGATGGGGGGAAAACGTGTTCATTTGTTAGCCTCGTTTAAAAGATGGCGCCTCAGATTCACTTAGGCCCGGGCGGAGCAGAGCGGTTATGACAGCGCCATTACAAAAACACACACACACACAAAAAAAGAGAAAAGGGTCTGAGACGGAGCGCTCCGCGCCTTGGCAACTTCATCAGCTTTGTGCATTAAGGTGATTACAGTCAATGAGAAGAGCCGGAGCCGTGTTGTGTATGTTAATCATTGGAAGATGATGATACGGTAACAGCTGCTCTACCTGGACTGATGTGAGCTGGTGAGGCTGCGTAACTAAGAGCGAGGGCTGATTCTTTTATCTTATAATAAGTATAAAGTATGTATAAATGTATAAAATATTTTTGCTTTCTGTGTCAAACCGTTGTTTTTTTTTGGATAAATACTTTAAAGTGCTTTATCTCCAGATTTCTTTGCATCAGACTGGTTGTGAGTCGGCATTTCAACCATGACAGGACACTAATAGTTTCCACTAAAACTTAAAACAAGGTGAAAAAAGTGTTTTAAACATAATCGTACATTAGCACTGTTGGCTTTTGACTCATGGTAAACATGAAGCTTGTGATGAAACACATTTCCATACATATAAATATATATATGATGCAGCATCAGATCAGAATTAGACAAAACTGAATTGGTGATTTCTGATTTTGAGCGATAATTAAAAATGATGAGAAGGTTGATATCAGCTTCACTTTTTAACGGTTAGCCAAGTAGTTGAATTCCCTGTGGAGCTTTCTGAACAGAGCACAGAACTAAGACTGTCAAGGTTATGGGCTGAGTTTCATGAGTAAACATCTGTCCACACATCTCTGCTCATCGTTGACTTTAGTGCCTTTTCTTGTCTCCAAATAAAAATATTACACACAAATAAAAATATATTGCCCAATCTCTTTAAGAGAGCAAACTCTTCATCATATCACTTAATTCTGATGATTTCAACTGGACAGGAAGAGAAGCAGGTTCAGGTTTTTGAGGATTAAAATTTGAAAAATGTAACATCAACGACTTCAGACTAAAACTTTCTATTCTAAAAGAAAACCACCTTTTAAATATTTATCATTCTGATGATCAGTTACTAAGCTTGGGGAGCACTCCTTTCACCATAACAAAAACTGAAACCGTTCTGCACTGGTTTGACACTGAAATCACTGAGTAGTTTTCATTCATATTATATAGAAAACGGATAAGAAGAGTGAATCATTGTTTTCATTAATACACATGGATGAAAATTATCAGTCCTTCGAACTGTGTTTGTGAACAAAATGACTCAAACAAACATCCACTTATGGAGAATACATAATTATACTGTATGAGATGCAGGTCACTTGCTTGGGGCATTTAAAAAAGGGCATGTTGGTAAAGTTATCAATCCTAAACAATTAGCTCTATATTTAAAAGCAAAATCCACTTAATTAACTGAATAACCCTGAAAAAGGAGAGCGGATGTTATGTAATTGATGATATAATTAACAAGTCGAGGTTTTTCAGGAAATTGTCCTTTTGAAAAACTGACTGGAAAAAAATAAAACCACAGGATTATTCAGTGCTACAGGACACCATTCTATTCCTCAGTCACCGTCTCTTAACTCTTAATGGACATTAAACACAGAGCTGAAGAAACACACGAGCAGAATTGAGTTAGCGGGCACTTACAGGGGAGAGGCCTTGCCCCATACATTTGCGTAAGAACACATAACTGTCACAAAATTACATGTCATTATTGGGCGGATCGTATGGATTCCACTTATTGATGCTTAATGGGCCCTTTGTTAAAGAAAAAAAAGTGGTTAGTTTGGTGTTTAAAGATAATGCAGAGGAGGATGCCGGAGTGTCGTCTCGCCCACCCCTCCACCTCTGCTCCTCCCTTTCAGTGAAAGTTGGAATCTGCCTATTCAGTTACATTTCAAACCTCAATTTCCGTTTGCAATCAGCTCATTACGGCTGACAGCTTGAAAGGCGGCCATTAATGACACACACACACACACACACACACACACACACACACACAGGGGATTCATGTCCAAGAAAGACCTGTTTCAACTGCAGCCAGGAGACGATCTGAGAGCAAACAGGACTGCAGCTCAAACGTAGGAGTTAACCGCCCCCTGCTGGCCCTTACGGGGACAGCATCAATTTTTCGGAAATAAAAGTGCAACTCAATCATCGTGACCTCCTTGTCTCCCTGTGACTGAGCATGTTTGTAGTGTTTTTATGTGCAACTATGACAACAGTGATGCATATTCTCTCAGTGGATCTGAAGTCACATCCATTACAGAGCAGCTTCTCCATCAGAAAACGTGGAGCCATTAGCAGCAGTGAGTCACTACAGATAACACTGTTCTTCATTCATATTCCGTTTCAAGGATGTCACATTTAACACCAAGCAACACTAAGTGCATTTTGAAGTTTATATTTTTTTTAGATGTATTCCTTAATTTTATTTTTTACTTTAGTTTGAGCAACGCATTGAGTAAGACTTACAATTCATAAAAACATAACAAGTTCTTCTGCCACAGATGATGTTCATATTCACAGAAGTAAGCTAAGAAAAATCTAGAAGCAAGAAGCAAGGCGCCCCCTTCTTCATATAGCCATTTTGTTGCATGTGCAAGGTGCGTGTGTGAGACAGTCGGGGATGAAGCAGCCGTGTCTGAGGACATGGAGGGGAAGGAGATGACAGAGGACTGGTGGACAATGTGGTGGTTTAGGGGTTTAGATTCAGACAAGATTTGAAAATAAGTCCTGCTCATTGGTCCTGCAAGGTCCAAGATGGTTGGAAACACCAGGTTTGCATAAATGTGGTATTAAAAGCAGCATTAATATGTTTTATTAAAGAAGAGTCATATTGAAGTGCTGTATGGATTCACCAGGTAAATATGTTTGAACCTGAAATGGTTCAGGTGAGCTTCCTGTATGCACACACTGCAACCAATTTCTAGCATTCATCTCCTGTTTGTTTTGCAGGCCGCAGTGTGTTTTTTAAAAAGATGAGAGCTGATTTATATTCAAAACTTTTATACTGTCATCTAAAAGACAGCTACCATTGATACAAACACCACAGAATTTCCTTTTTGTTAGGAAGTCTAGTAGAAAGCATCAGGATCATTGTTGGACAGTAAACATCTCCACTAAAATCCACACTAATGAAAATCCTTCAAGGTTAGCAGCTATTTTAATTAGTATAATTGAATCTCTGGGACACATTGTTGCCTTCTTCTAATTATTTTTTCAGTTTTTATCTGTTTTGGTATCTGCAAAGTACCTGGTGATAAACCTTTTTTTTAAAGACCACATAAAGAAAATCTCACCCAATCACAGGTGATTTTAAAAGCCCATTAGCCTCAGACCTATGAAACATATTCAGCGTATATTCATTTAGGTTCATCATTTAACCTAAATGTGCTTTGAGACTTTAGAGTTAAACTGCGTGCACCAAGGGAAAAAACATGTTTTTCATCCATTTCATTTTGTACCAGAGCAGGTGTAACATTTTATTCCCAAAATGGGAGCTCTCTCGTTTTGAAATGGAAATCTTTAAGAATTAATTCTTTGGCAGCTACTCTTGCATGATTCATGAAAGGCCGGTAGAGGGCTAATTGTTCAAATTAATTTGCGTAAACGACTAAGCAAGAGATAACAGAATTACATCTGCACTTCCCTGGCACGGGTTCAACAGTGACGGGCCTCAACAGGCAGCTGCATCAAGACGGCATCCTTGCCAGAAATTAAAAGCCACAAAACATTAATTAATAGACTTTTTGTTACATTAATCTGCACCAAAAGGTTTAAGGAGAGCAGGGTGTGGGGAGATGCGTGTTGAGGAACACGGCACCGAAACAGGCGGTGTGCATAATTAAAATAAATTACTTTGATGCAACATTTTTTTTAAAAAGCCTCTTAAAAAAAAAAAGTAGGTGTGAGTTAAATAAAATAAATAAAAATCTAAGAGGGAGTAGTCACCGGTGTTGGAGTTAAGGGATTTGACAAGCTCATTAATCATAATGTTAATGAAGCCATTACAGTTAGAGCACAGGTCCGTCTGCGTGTAAGCAGACATGTGGGTGGTGACGGTTTGTTAGTGCGAGCAGCCGCTTGGTCGACCAAATACCAGGTCGAGCTTCTGGAAGTTCAAAAGTAGGACCACGGTTTGTTTTTTCTCTCCATGAAAACCACTTAATAGCTCGGACACAAAGTTAATCAGCACATTGGGCTGAAGGGGACGCTGTTGCTCAGTGTGAAAGTTACACAGTGTTGCTTTAAGAGCAACATCTATTTTTGAAAGAAAACCTGACGATGTGCCAGAAATACTATTCGAAATCTATAGTGTCATGAATAATCTAATGCTGTTCTAAATATATTGCTGTGTAGTAGCACAAGTTCGTCAACCGGAGGTAAGTAACCTTGCAATGACAAATACACTTGAGGCCTTTAAACGATTCAACAATGCTGATAGAGGCCTTAACACCAGCATTTTAATAGAGACAGCAATCGTAACAACGCAGCGTACAAGACAACCCATGCTGAGAAGAATGAGAAGACAGCAAACTGGGTCTGTGAGGATTTGAATTCACTTGAGCGTTGGATCTAATGAAGGCTAAAGCTCAGTGAAACTGAAAAACCTCAGATGAATCACCTTCTCCAGTCGGCACCAGGAGATACCCCCCCCCCCCCCCCCCCCNCACACACACACACACACACACACACACGGCGCTCAAACTCCTGTTTTCCACAATCATGCAGGCAATGTAAACATGCTGCCAGGACGCCCGTTTCTCATCTGCTTCTTTTCCCGCCAATGTTTCCATGGATATTATTACCATAAATTACGACTGTAACGTGAGGTGGGGGGAAGATAAAAAAGTGGAGTCTGGGCATCCATTTAGCTCTGGTAGACCTTCCTGTCGCTGCCAGTTCATGATCACCCATCCGACCAGACTATTTTATGCCCGACTTGCTTGATGCATGAGAGAGAAAGCATGCCGCCATTTCTTATAATCCCCTTTCTTCGCTCCTCTCTCCTGAAAGAGAAAAATCAATGGGCGAACACGAAGAGGCCATTGCTTGTGTTTGCATTTGATGGAAACAAGCACGACTCACCTGGGCCCTCTTCATCTCCACTCTGCACAGCTCCTGAAGGCCCTGAATCCACCACCCACACCGACTGTATCGACTGAACGCCTACAGCACTTCAGACGGAGCAGGGATGTAAACTGTCACAGCAGTGTGTTGTGTGATATTTTTATATACAAGCTTTTCTGCTGAAATAAACCAAGTGTGTGTGTGTGTGTGTGTGTGAGACATCGAAGATGATAATCATCTGTATGCACCAGTTTTTGTGGAGTGGCAGTTTGGCTCTTTTCTGCATTTATTTTTTTAAATTATTTTTTTGTCATGTTTTTACATGTTTATTATGAATAACAGAAGTCCTGTAAAAACATGTATATGTGTAAATCCTCAGATTTTATAAAGATAATTGTCAGTGAGGAAATGAAACTGCCGCTGAATTTCATCAAGTTTTAACCACGTACGATTATTGTATTTTTTTAAGTCGTGGTTTGCATAAAGATTTTATATTTACATTTTATATCAAGCATAGAAAAGACGTCATGAGTGCAACTTTAATACTTTATTTACATTTAGGTCTGTAAATGAATAGGGACAAAATCTTAATTGCTGCATTGACTTTTTGTTTGTGCAGTAGGCCTCGTCCACTGAGAGGAGACGAAAAGCATAGCTCAGAAGAAAGATGTCTGAAACACCCTGGTGCCACCGTGACCCAACCTCACCTAAGAGGGCCAATCTGAAGTTTAATGTGCATTTCCTGACTCATAACGCATCCTTAAAAGACATTTTGTGGAAATCCGCTCTGTAGTTTATGCGTAACCCTGCTGACAAACACAAACCAACCAACCGAGGACGGAGGTGAAAAAAATAGCCTCCTTGGTGGATGTAACAAAACTATCCACTCTCCAACAATAGGATGTACATATACAATATTCTGGTCTGGTCTCCAAAATATTCTTTAATTTTCTAATCGCTCTTCTCCTCCATCTTTCCCTCCCATGACCATTTTTCCCCCGCTGACATCCAAACAGTTGATGCTGCCATTTTGCTTACCAGCTTCATTTTTCTTCCTCTTCTTATTCCACTAATATATTCAGCCTCCTCTTCTTCTCCTGATACATATTCGCTCTTGATTGTGGCTGCCAATTAGCCGCCACGGCTCTGGCAGTTCATCCATCTGACTTAAAGGTTCCTTGCCACTAATTTTGACGGTCAGGTCAAGTAGCGGAGGGGGGCCATTAATTGGAATAATGAAGTCTTCAGTGAGTGATCATCAATGACTTCAGAGAGCTATTAATCCTTTAAAAGAATTCATCTCTTTATTTCTAATGTTTAGCTTTATCGTCCAGCTTGCTGCAACAACTCATTTATCTGAGACTTAATAAACAATCATGCATACATGACTTCTCTTTCTCTCTTTTTCACTCTGATGTCGATTACTTTAATTTCTTTCCTGCACTTCTCTCTGGATCATTTAATTTGTTCTCATCCTTCTCTCCCCACTCTTCATGCATCTCTCTTCATTCTGCTTTTTTTCTTCCCACCTAAACCCTCTTTTCCTCTTTCGTGTTTGTACTCCACATTCTCTCTTTTATCTACGTTTTATCCCTCTCAATGTTTCTCTCCATCTTCTTCACGCCTCCATTTCTCCAGCCTCTCCAAATGACTCCTCCCAGGTCTGCTATTAGTCTAGAAATCTCAATATTTGAGGACCAAAATGTATCGTAACTATGTTTCTATCAAATAAACCTATTCATTTTCATCTATTCTTCCATCCCTCAGTCACTGTTCTCCCACTTCACCCTCTTTTTTTATTCCCTATACCTTTTGGCTGCTCCGTCCTGAGAGAAGGAATCCTAATAATAGGGTTATTTTTTGGGGTAGTTTTTCCTTTCTCTTGTCGAGGGTTAATGGCAAAGGATGAAGCAAATAATGATTTGTAAAAATAAGATATACAAATAAAATGTGATTGACATCTTCTCTCCTCCCATTACCAACCATCCTGCCTCCTTTACATATCCCATGCTGCACCACTTCAGGTCTATATTTGCTGCTCGACTGGACAAACGAAGGATCAAGCTCTGTACAATTTACTGGTTGTAGCCTATCTCCGCTCATTCTCTTGCCAGATGGCACACAGCTTTAATCACCGATGTAACAAACTGTGGCGGAACATGACCAGGTTTTGCTACACAACTGCCAACAACACACAGATGCAACCGTACACGACAGAGAGTGATGCTTTGCAGACACGTGCATGAAGAGGAACACACTTAAAACTGGGCATCATTTATTTATCATCTTCTTGTGCAATCAAACTGACCAAATTCAAGTTTTAAAATTGTGGTTTTGCAACACTGACAACATCTTGGAGAAACAGTTGAAATCCAGCAGCTCAAAGAAGAGCTCAGTGCTGGAGAGTTCCTCGTAATCAAAACTGAGACAATGGCTCTCGAACTTAAGGCAGAGTTTTATCAGAGAAATACTGTGGCTGAGGAAGCCCAAGCTGAAGATCAGCTACAGGAAGCTGACAGAGGCTCAGGTTAACCTAGAAACAACAAACGTCTCCTGCGTTGCTTACATTAAATTACATGCAAAAGGTGGACACTGAAGTCACAGCTGAATAGCAGAAAGCAACATAGCAGCTGCAGGTCCAGCTATAACACTGGCAAGAGGAGAAGGCCTTTTTCTAAGATGCAAATAACGTCCTGCAGCAGGAGTTGACTGAGAGAGGGAGAGCGCCGAGGACATTGTTGATAAAAAGTCCAAGACGAGAAGTGCAGCAGGCTCCTCAAACGCACTAGCTCCACATAAACAGCAACTGGAGCGGAGAGAGAGCCGGACAAAATATCCCTGTCCAGCCTGAGAACTCCTTGAGAGATATCTACCTTCTACCCCTCTCCCACATGCCAACTAAAAAAATTGAGAAGGACTGCATGAACATTTGGAATACTAATCTTATCTTCATTTACCCATAACAGAAGCATAATCCAGTAATCGAAGATTGGCAGCCATAGTTTATAATATGTTAATGCGTAAGACTTTAAGGCCTAAAATTCAGATGATTAAACTGTTCTCATCTTCTGTAAATCAAGCTCTGATCGATGGCCCGCTATTATAAAACCTACGAAAAGTTAAACTAATTTGTACAGTTGTCATATTTCATTCAATCCTAATTAAGAAATATGTCATGAGCAATTTTATTCCAGTCACTGACAAATCTGATTTTAAACATCAACCAAGGTTTTGTTTTGAGTCAATTAACAAAACCTCTCAGAAAACAATCTTGACAGCACAATTTACACACAATCAATTTCAAACATAATATCACTTTGTTTAACTCGATATATTTACCTAAAATATCTATAAATCAAGCATCAGTATTTTCATCTATAATAATCTATGCATACAGTTACAAGCTACAATACACTACGCAGCCATTACTCACAGTGACGTTGAAGAAGTGACTGCCAATAATCCCAACAGTGAATACATGTCAAAGACAACTTACACCAAGCTCACTCTGACACCGCTGGATTTCAGACATGAAGGATGGACTTGATTCACCCGTCTGACAGTGAGCGTTAAAGCCTCTGTGCCTTGGTGGTGTGGCCCGAGTCAAATTGTTCATTTTACCTCTAATCGTGCCATTTATCAAAATGCTGCTCAGGCGCGTCAGTAAAGTGCATTTATGCTAACTAGATCCAAGCGAGGCAATGGAGAGGACCAGTCATCATTCAGCTTCAGGGTGTCCGAAACAGATGTTTGCTAAAATAGATACAAATCAAATACTTTTCAGAGCCAGTTCCAGTTTAAAAAATATCACTTTTGGCCTTCAGAGGATTAAAAGGAGATTTTAGTGAAGAGTGTGGGGTTCAAGCAGGGAGACATATTGAGCACAGTCTGCACAGATTCATTTAAGTGCAAGGTCATGCTTTAAAACGTGTCAGCAAATTACTTAGGAGTTGCTGATGTGACATTGACCTCGACGTGAAAGAAACTAAATGAGAGCAGCAAATCTAGTATCAGAAATATATTTAATATTAAACACACCCATTTTTAATTTACAGGTATCACAATGCCTTAAAATGTTCTGGAAAGATCCTTAAATAACTTTATCCTTGATTGTAACTCATGCTGAGCATCCAGGCGTGGTCGCGTGACACTGTCTGAATCAGTAATATAAAGTAATGTTCAGTATTATGACATAACAATCGGCCTAATTGGCAAACAAACGCTAATACCGAAAGGCTCATATCAGGCAATTTTTTATCATCCAACTGATGTCCCTGATGTTTGATGAAAACATCAATGTCAGCTTTGAAGGTCTAGAAGGTCTTAAATACACTCTTGCTAATGATTATATTAATTAAAATGCTGGAGGATGTGTGTTCTAGTGGTTTCATGTATGTACTTTATTATGATTAGTCACATGGTTTAAGAAAGAGTGAGCCATCCAGTATAATCAGCACTACTCAGAAAACTATAAATCATCTGCAAAAACATTTAAACTCACCACTGTTCACTTAAAATTAAAAAGTGTCCACTCAACAGAAATATGATTCTAAAAGCAGCTGGTTTATCCCCCTCATCTGACGTTTATTGAGACATTACCAACACACAACACAGACTCCAGTAAATTTACCCATTTTGCAAACAATTCTTGTGGATGATTATGAGCCACGCCGCTGGGGTTGATGGAGAGATTAATCTTGCTTTCATAGAAATATGTCACTCTCTGCACGCCATGATGGATGCGATTTATCATTCCAGACAAATCTGTGGCTGAACGTCCCTCCTCCTGACAGCTCTATCGTGGCAAGAACGTCCCAAAATGTCACCTGTTGTTCGCGGATCGACCTTCTAATTTTCTAATTCAATTTCAAGAAGTCCCCTCTACGCCACTCCACTCATATCATGAAGCAGTAATAACAATTACACACCGTGACTGGCTCCAAAACCTGCAATTCCCTCACTTTAAATCAAACCCCAAGTAGTCCTTTATTAGGCTGCCCGGTTAAATCAATCTAAATCTAAGCATAATAACTCTCTAATCAGGTGCTGGGGAGAATAATAGGTTGTCACGCTCGAGGAAAAATAGGCAATCATGGAATGTTTTCTTTAATTAGGCCGGCTAAAGTAGAAGGGCAAGGCGGGAGCATGGGACACATTCATCATAGCCAAGGTGGGAAATTACTTCAATTACTCAGGAAGGGGAGAGTGAACAGAATTACAGAAGTCAGAGAAGCAGAAGAGAGGAGAGTGTGATCTGCGAGGAAGTCCAAATGACACCGGGGGCAGGGGAGGCAAGGACAGAGGGAGGACGGAGGGATGGACGGAGGAAAAAAAAGGAAGGTAAGTGGGGGTGTGCTATGGAGAAAAGTGTCTTGTCCCACAAAAGAGTTAAAAAGGTTTATACAAGCATCGCAGGAGAAGAATGAATCTGTTACTGTCTCTTGATTTGTTTGTATTTATTGCATATTACATATTAATATTCCCTATAATGTCTTCCCGCATCTTTTGAAAAGTTCTGCTTATATCTGTTTTGTACTACATCCGTTCTATGAAATATAAAACATTAAGGAGCCATAAGAAAAAGGACACTATTGTTAAAACAACTCATTACTACAATGCAAAGTTAATAAACAATGTAAAACTGAATGCAGAAAGTTAACTAGAATATAGATATAGATAGATAACTGCAACTGCAGTGTAGTAGCAGTTATCTATAAATTACATATCTATACATCACAGTGACCTTGACCTTTGACCACCACATTTAATCAGATCATCCAAGTAAATTGTTTGTGCCAAATTTGAATAAATATAAGAGACAAGAATGGGACGCACACCCCGAAAACATAACGGCTCCAGTCGGAGGAAAGCAAAACCTCTCTCACTGCACAGTTAGCCAGCTATCTCTTACCATAGCTGTAAAATCCTCCATCACTCATCCTCAGAACTGGAACCCCACTGACGTGTCCAACAAACCTCCACCAGAGCTCCCAGTTTCTGCCAGCTTCCCCAGAATGCAACGAGAGCAAGACTGAGAGAACCTGGCTGCAAACTCCCTCTCAAAGTGAAAAGGTAAACAGCCTTTTACTGTAACTGGATCTATCGATTCGGACAGTGACGCTTTGGCAGGTCATGGATCCAGTCCGCACTGTGACTGAAGAGCAGCAAGTTCAGCCGCCGGACAGATAAATACAGAGATTATGACTTTTGATAAGTGCGAGGCACGAGCTCAATCAGCAAGAGGCTCAGATGAAGTAGCTGCCATGACGGTGACGAGGAAAAGCTCTGAGACGGATTGAGGCACTTTCACTCTTCCACTTTTCATTAATTACTTTGACAATTTAACTTAGCCTGACAAAATATGTCTGATCAAGGAAGAAGTGACCTCGAATCCTCTGTGGCCGACCAGAAGACAGGCGCATCCTTTTGTTGCCAAAGGGTCAAGATGTTAAGAAAATGTACACACAATTCCTGAAAAGTCTTTCCATGGTCTTAGTATAAAGACCAACTATAACTTTTCCATCTTTATGGAAAATATAACAACATGACTGATATGTATGTATATAGATATGAATACACTACGTACAACGTATATATATATATATATATATATATATATATATATATATATATATATATATATATATATGATAAAAAGGGGACAAATAAATCAAGAATTTTGACTGATCAAATACAGTAAATTATCCATAAACATATAATAACATTTCAGCTTTAGACCATGATGAAAATTCCTATTGATAATAATTTGATTCATGCCAACATACAGTAAATAAGTGCCTCTCCATTAGATTGCTTTGATGATAATAATCAGATTTATGCATTTCATGTGGCCTATAAGAAGGCACACTTCCACCTCATCGATAAAAGAACCTTGTGTTTAGTAAAGTTGTCATGCAACTTACATTCAGGTGAGAAGCTTGATGATCACAGTGGGTAGCCGTCGATCCACAGCCGGGCCTCCAGAATTCTGTGGATGAAGGTATTTAAATTAATATTTTAAAACTCAGCAGTTTTACTAGTAAAAAGTGTTTTCTTAAACATCTTGGTGTCAAAAAGTCTGCTGCAGATCATTCTGAACAGAATTAAGTCTCCCAGGACATAGTACAATGGCTGACTGTCAAAATAAATTATGTGCTTCTGTTTTGTTTATAGTTCAGCATCGTATTTCAGAATTCTTGCTGTTATAATCATCCATCTCTTTACATTTAATCCATATTTTTAGGGTTTGAAATTAGTTCCTTGTGGTATTTTTTTGCCCCATTGATTCATTTATTGTTTGTTTTCTTCAAAGCAGCTGTTTCTGCCCACTGACACTGACAGTTTTTAAAATGCATTAAAAAGAGAATCAAACATTCATCATTCAGGATGTTAGAAACTGCAGGAAAGGTAAGAAAAGCAAGGAAAAAAGAAAATCACGAGGAAGGATGAGGTCCACAAACGTGAGCAATTAAGTCTAAGCCTTTGACTGTTAACACTGATACCCTTACATTTTCAGTTTATCGCCCAGCTTCACACCCGAACCCCCCGTGCAGAGCAGTCCTGCAGGACAAGCTCTGATAGCAGAAGATGGAGAGGCCACTGTCAGTATCACAGCAAGGTGGTAATCAGCCAGGGGATCTGTGGTTCACTGAAGCGATCAATAGAAGGATTGCAGTGTGTTCACATCTTGCAACTGTGCAGGATTATCAAGTTCGAGCGATCCATCATGGCTTGATAGGTGGTCAGTGGCAGAGAAGCCGGAACTAAGTAAGTGGAAGAGGTGTAATGTAGCTTGTGACCGTCTGCTGCAGATCAGGCTACAGGAGAAATTAGTGAGTTTGTCTGAGACACAGGAAGGAAAAGAGACACTGGTGCATTACTTCAGATTTGGTTTCCTACTTGATGAGTTCATGAGGTGAAAATAAAAAAGGTTTAAGATCAAGTGTACAGGAATAGCCTCAATCAAATAAATCCAAATTGTTTAAAGATACAAAAACTCCATCAATTCAGGAATCATTGGAAAATGAGGGAATACCTGAGATGCTTGTTTTACATGCTCTCTAAAACATGTATCCTGCAGAAATGTAATAACTCTGATTTGTACATTCCACCAACGGTACCTTGACAACTTTGTCTGATCATCCAGATTATGAGGTGATATTTTTACCACACCACAGGGATGTGTGTTGCCTTTTGTTTCAAAGTTTCCTGGGCACTTATCACATTGAAAGTATTTCGTTTTTTTAAAGGTTCTTTCTGGACTTTGTAAAAAGCAGCAGCCTGACACTACAATGACAAATAATCTTTAATCCAGGTGAGGCAGCAGAGGCACCAGATACCTTGTCTAATAGTTTAGCTCTCGCCACGCTCATCCTGCGGATCCTCACGTGCAACGACTGGCACCGCTTCTGCAAAAGATTAGGAAGGAAAATGACAGAACCGGGGTTAGAAAATGAGATTCCAGTCACAAGTAAATCTCACATTAAGTCAGTTTTGCGACACCACACAGAACATTTACAGACTGTACGGAAGAGTAAGATCTTTGCTTTTTCTCCTCTCATCTTTATTTTCTCCCTCTTTCTGAATTCCTTGCTTTTTCCTGTTCTGGCCTTTTATATGTCTTTCCTTAATTTGTAATCTCCTTTTACATTTCATCCATCCTTGCTCTTTTCAAATCCTACTTCTCCCTTTAGTTAGCATTCTTCCTCCTTTACCTTTCCTCCCTCCCTCTCCTCCTCCCCTTCCCTCATTTTTTCCTCATCTTCTTTCTGCTTGACTGACCAGAGAGCTCCATCATCATCACAGGGCCCGGCCCAATTTTTGTTATAAAGGCAATAAATCATTCCAGCTTTCATCTATTGTTATTGATGAATGACCAATTATTTGTCATCTAATACGCAGAAAAACGATGACACGGGGAGACGGATCAATTTTTTTCCCTCCTCCGCTGGCTGATGTGACACAGGACAGCAGTGATTGATTGTATCCTTAAACTGTTATTACATGTATAATGTGGCGCTCAAATCCGACATCTCACTTAGTCTCAGCTCCGCCCCTGAAACAAAAAGATTTGTTTTGTGATCAAGAAATCCTATTACGTACTTTGAGCCAGTACTTATTCCTCCAAGGCAGGTTCCAGTTTGGATCCAAATCAGTAAAATACTCAGCTTTGATTAATTGTGGCCAAGGAATATGTCCTAAAATAGTTTTTGATATTCTGTATAGCATCTGCATGCAGGGCCATCTATGCATAGCACTATAGCAGTGTGTCATTCAGCTGAAACATAGCCTTTCAGACTTCTGTTCTGTCTGTATTTCTAGAGGCGAGTCTTTCTTGAGCAGATTCTTTCTCCTCCAGCTTGCTGCGATCCTTCCTGTCTGAAGTGGAATTTGAATTTATCTCTTGGAGCTCTAGACATTTTTCTTATTTGAGAACAAAATGCACGGCCAGCAGAACAACTTCAATTTTAGCTGGTAACAAGGCTGACTAATGTGAAAATGTCTGGTATAGCTGGTTTATGGTGGGAATTGGTTGGAACTGTTTCAAGTGTGGAAATACTTTGTTTTTGACATCACACAGCTGTATATATTTTATAAAGCGTAAGCAGCTCTGGAGTTAACCTGCACAGTCTTCCTCTGTGCAGTTAAAAATGAGTTTGTGCACTGGAGCAAGGCCGCAAACGCGCCGGAGCCTGTTTCCCCCGCAAACACAACTGCGAAAAGAAAAAGACGGATAGAGAGATCATCTTCCATATGAGACGCTCGATCAATTTCCTGCGTGTCCCATCCATCACCGGCAGTTGTCACGGGGTTCACACCGAGATGTTTCAACTAAAGCCTTCAGTTACCGAGGAGCTCGTTTATACAACCACTGAAAAAGCTAATGTTGAGATAATAATAATAATTCACTCAAGTTACCTTGAGAAAGAGGCTCTCACAAGGTCGGGTCCTTGCTTCACCTCACAAGATGAACTGAGCACACGAATGGGACATTTTGACTTTTATCTGTGTGATTACTATTTTAATGTCTGACGGCTTCCAACATGATTTTCATAAAGTGTTACCTAAACAGTGTATTCGTGTAGCTCTGTTAGAATAAAGTGTAAATGTAGCTGTAATAATTATTAATTATAGTCGTGCATTTCTCCAGCACTGTCACTTTTTGATTAATTTGTCCTTAACTTCAATATTTCTATTTTTCTCTATTATTGTGAAAAACTTGTGTGTTCAAACAAGCTACTTTGCAGGTTCAGATGTTACAACTAAAACAGGATGAGCTTAAGCTGCTTTTGTTTTTTTTCCACGTGCAACTTTATTGTGACATGATTGCACAATGAAATGCATTATATTCTTTCATATATTCATATACAGTATTTCTAGCTGTACCCCTGTGGGAACAAGTTCCTCTCTTGTGCACACAACATGAATAAGCACACACAGAGTTCATATCTGCGTAGTAAAGAAATGTCAACACTAAGTTGTGTTTTTAAGCTGTTTAGAGTTTTATAATTGGTCTTTTTGCTTCAGTATGCACGGCAGAGAAATGTATTTTGTTCCAAATGCATGAAAAGTTTGCTAAAGGCACCAGTTGCTACTAAAAGTTAGCACAACACATTTAGCAGGTGCAGTTCATGGGACTTGAATTATAAATATGGCATAAGTCAATTATAGCAGCGTTTGATTCAGAATTAAATGAGCTTACTTACAAGTGTCCAAAGGTCAGACTTCATGCAGGAACACAAAAGAGAAGGAAGCTAACAGGAAGCTAACAGGAAGCTAACTCACAGGTGCTAGGCACGTTAATTGGACGCAGGTGACAGCGATCCGTGTGGCGGGAGATCGGGACAGGAAGTGATCAGCAAAAGGCGCGGAAGCTCCGTATTTTCAAAGTCAAACCGGAAGCGATGAGCTCCACATTCTAAGAACTGAAACAATGAAACGCACGAGAGGAGCACAGGGGACATATCCTGACAAATAAAGGCTGAGTGAGTGAGCCAATCAATATTCTCAAATCATTGGACTTTTCCTGCTTATAATTGATTCATTCATTATGAATATATGCTAATTCAGTTTTTCATTTTATTCATCAATGCTGAGCTGCTGGTTGTGGTGTATCTGATCGAGCGTTCTGTGCTCGACTATATTAGCCTGCGGCACTCCGGGTGCTGCGAACGATTGCTGATGTCTGTTGGTTGTTGAACTGCCACTAAAGCTTGTATACTAGTTACCTCGCCTCCGTGTACGTTATTTATTTATTATAGTACTAGTAACCCACGGTCCGGTTTGAGACTTACCTCCAACACACTTTATACAATATAAAGAACCACTACACTGGTCATGTTGTAGCCCCTTTTGACCACCAGATGCCAGTATTTCATCGCACAGATTTCCCCCTTCATTTAGATTGTGGCATTTTATGGAAATACACAGAGTGTTATAATCTTTATAAGATAGGTGTCATCATTTATCAGTGTGGACGGTTCACTTCATCTCTCAGTCACAGCACAGGACACAGCGGAAGTGTGTAATTTAATTTAATTCAAGTTTAATTTGAACTTTAAACATGCGTGGTGTTTTTATGAGGTTGAATGATTCAGCCAGCAGATGGCAGTGTTAAACTAAATATCATGCCTGGAATGCAGTACTTTTAGAATTTATAGCAAATATTCTATTATAATTCATAACTAGGAATGCAGAATTAGATAACAATAAAAAAGAATCGTGTTTTTATAATGAAAAACTATGGGGGGGGGTATCAAATTAAAATAGCCAATTTAACTCCATGTTCAGCCGTCAAACCTTATTTTTCTTAAACTAAAGAGCAGAAATGTTTCACTTTGGGAAAGAGACTGCTGGATGAAATGTAATCTGTGGACAAATGAAGGCAGTGGAGAGATGAAGAAAGTGATATGTGTGCATATTTTACCTTTTGAGGAAACAAAGTTAGAAAATCAGGATGAAATAGAATGAAATGCAGAATAACTAATCCTTTTTCTGATTGGAGAGGCATAAACATGATTTTAGATCCATAGATTCCTCCTTCTCTTCAAAACAGGTCTTCAAAAGAAGTAACAGGTACTTATATAATGTATATACGTGTATAAGTAAGCTTGTGGTTTTTGAATTATATTATTTTCTTGGTGATTACTGCTAATAATGCTAATAATAACAGATTTATTACTGCTGTGGCTTTGTATAGGAGCCTTAGTGAACACCCAGTACATAGATGAAATGCAGTCCAACAGATCACTGCTCTTATTCTCTGAAGTGTCATGAAAAAAAGTGGCCAAGTCCCATTTAATTTGTCGAGGGGCTACTTAAGAATGAAAAATGCCCCCCCCCCCCTTGCCTTTTTTTTTTTTTTTTTCATCCCAAGGACGTATGAGCTCATGTTGCCTGGCCTGCTGCCTGGATGATGAGGGGGAGGAAGAGGAGGAGAAGGAGGAGGAGGAAGCGGATGCATTCATCAGGTAAATTACATCATCGACAGCCAATCCCCTGCTGCCTGACACAAGCTTCTGGGAGCAGCGTCTGTCACACAGTTCGAAGCGTGGGAATTGGCTATGGCTGGATGTTACCTTGAGAGAGCAGGAGGGGGTGCAAGGTCAAGAGGTCAAGCAATGTTTGGTTGAAGAACCCGCCGCCTCCACGGTGATGCATGTTTTGGCCTTGGTGACTTAAAGAAGAAACAAACATCCATACTGAGGAATAAATGCAATTATATATGGCTTTTATTTCTACGCACAAAGACATGAAGAGGCTGAGAAGATGTTCAGAGTTTGATGCCAGTGGTGTAGCCTCAACATGCTCTAGAAACTTAAAGAGTTGTCGATTAACTCTGCAAAGAAAATCACTTGCATGTGTCCTGCACATTTTCCAAAGTCCTCAGGAAACAAGAAGCTACATAAAAATTAAAAGTAAACAATGCAAGCCTCCGATTCATGTTCATTTGTTGAGTCCAGTCTCTGATGGTTTTCCTCCGTTCAAGGTTTTTATTTTAGGATTTCAATTTAGTTCTCCATTTGTGTGCAGTGCAGTGTCTTCCCAGGAAAATTGGTGTCACATACAAGTCTACAACATTTAACACCAAATCTTAATAATCTTGTTTAAACCTTCTTATCAAAAAAGTA